CGCACTGTAGCAGTGCGCCACCGGGCCGGCCCCCAATTAATGCTTTAAAATTAAGGACATAACTACTATTCTTAAGTGCAGGTGGGGAAAAAGTCACCCGTATTTTTGCTACTTAGAACGATTAATTTAGAATTTTTTTATATTCCATCCTATCATTATTATAATTATAAACATAATGTACCTGGATGTATACTAACCTAGTTTTTCCACTTGCTATATTATAAACTTTTAAGATGTTGGTAAATAGCCTTTATAAATTTGAAAAGCTTCACAGCACTCCATGGACCTAATGTACCATAAGTTAATCAACTCTTCCAGTGTTTGTTGGGTATTTAGGCTGCTTTTCCTATTTAAAATAATTCTAGCTTTAGATTTCCATCAATAAGAAGAAATATAAAATAATGAAAGCTGAGTCAGTGGGCCTATCTGCGAGCAAGGTCAAGGTTTCCGGCCAGATAGCGACAGAACCAAGTAGAACAAAAACAGTGCAGTTCTCAGGCCACAAACACTCTTCTTTCCTCCTGACCCGATGAGCCACCTGGCAAACACACACTGGTGGTTCCAGGGGGACCAGGTGAGTGAGATATTCTACTACACTGTTGAAAAATGGTCATATGCAAAGATTATCTGTCAATGAGGGGTGAGTAGTACAAGTACCACTTTCCCATATTAAAGGCGTCACTTTTATAAAAGAACCAAGGTTCCCTTTCTTCTTCTCACTCCCCCTTTTGCAGAAAAGTTAGCACACGAGCTGAGTTAGGTAGAGTAGCCAAAATATTGAGGTAGTCATCTTCCTGGACTGAGAATTCCCTTTGAATTCTGGGCACAAGGAAACGAGCAGATGAGAAGGTTCAAGAACTGGGATCAAAAAGAGGAATTTGAAGTTTGTTCTGTTTAACAAAAAACCACAGGAGCGTTATGTATAAGTATAGATGACAGACTTGCTATGTGGACATCTCAGACTTGCTTTGTGTATTCTTCTAGATATTCCAGCACTAACATATTTTCTATATAGTGTCTATTAGTATAGAGTTGCGATAAGCTTCCACACTGGTTTTTTTTTTTTACAACTATATATTTTTATTTAAAGTTTTAAAATTTTTATTTGTAGTGAAATACATATAATATAAAATTTATCATCTTAACCAATACACTTCAGTAGTGTCAAGTATATTCACATCACTATGCAAACAGTCTCCAGAACTTTCTCATGCTTATTAAACAACACCCCTTTTCTCCCTTCTCCTCTGCCCCTGGCAGCCACTTTTCTACTTTCTGTCATTATGAGTTTGACTACTCTAGATGTCTTATATAAATAGAGTCATATAGTATTTGTCTTTTTGTGACTGGCTTATTTCACTTAGCATAATGTCTTCAAGGGCCATTCATGTTCCAGCATGTGTCAGAATTTCTTTCCTTTTTAAGGCTACATAGTTTTCCATTGTACGTACATGCCATTGTACGTTTTGCTTATCCAGTCATCTGTGATGGATATTTGAGTTGCTTCCACTTTTTGAATATTGTAATAATGCTGCTGTGAACAGGGATGTACAAACCCTGCTTTCAATTCTTTTGGATATATACCCAGAAGTGGGATTGCTGGATCAATTGGCATTTCTATCTTTAATTTCTGGGGGAACTGCTGCACTGTTTTCCATTGTAGCTGCACCATTTTACATTCCACCAAGAGTGCATATGGGCTCCTATTTCTCCATATCCTTGACAGTACTCGTATGTATCTATGTATGTATGTGTGTACATGTACTATATATAGTAGCCATCGTAGTGGATGCTTTACTATTTTTAATGTGAAATAATTTAAGAAAAGAGTAATATTTTCTTTTGATTTGAGTGGAAATCAACAGCACATCAGTTTGAAATTCAAATGAAATGAAAATATATGAAAGTTCACCTTACAACATGAGATTTCACAAGATGCACTTCTATAAAAAACATTTGGGCTTTTGAACAAATTTACTAGTATTCATTTTTATTCAACCAATTCGGCTACTTTTCATTAATTTGTTTGTGTGAACACCCTTGGTATTTCCATACTAGATATAGATTTATTAAAGGTAGAAAAAGCTTTGTTCCTGCCCTTAAGGGAATTGTCTGTGATTAATACCCACATATTCACAAATTAAATGGATAAATGAATGTGTTTTAAAATAAGTGGATGTATAAAAACTGGGACCTGAAGGAAAACCTCTTTTTATAAAGTTAAAACATTTGTATGGTATTTTTTCCTCCAGAAAAATAAGCCCACTTGCTCGTTCTGTTTGCCCACGAAGATAAGGGTTTTGGTTCAGTAGACTCAATTCTGATGTTAATGCCCATTCTCTGTAGCATAGACTAACATATATCACCAGAGAGTGGGGTCTTTGTATATCAAGAAGTCCTGAAATTTGCGAGGAGGACCATTGGGTTTTTCTCCATTTGAGCAGGTCCTTCACCCCTGCCTCTCCAAGTTTATTTTGCCCCTCCATTGGTTGGGGGGAGAGAGGGATTAAAGGAATAATACATGTATCAGACTATGCATGTAAAATGCAGTAGTCTGCCCATATTGCCAGGTGTTGCATATATAATTTATGATGATTTCTTTCAGGACCGTTCTATGCAAGAAGATTATCTACCCTGCCCACACCCCAGCCCCCCAACTGTTGGACCCTTTAGTATTTAAGTTCCTGTCTTTCAGAACAGGGGGAGAAATCCATTATTGGAAAATGGAGTGAAGTTTGTAAACCTTAGGTTATATCAGCCCCAGCCATTCCCACCCCCATGTGTTTTTGCTTCTCCTAGGTTTGGCAAGTGTGTCTACAGTAAAATATGGTAGTGGGTACAACTGATTTTCTACTCTGGCAGTGCTCTGGCCATAGTGATTGAAGCCTGGTCATCCATATAGAGAGTAGAAATTTAAAGATAGAAAAGCACTTGGTAGCAGGCCTGGAGTCAGCATTTGATATTAATTCCAGTAGTGTTTCATTTGAATTCTAACTAAATCCAACATGTAGCTAGAAGTTGGTATAGCAGTTCCACTTTGACAATTTGTTGCAGTTAATTTGCTCAGTGAAATTATATAGCAAACATAATCAGAGTTATTTAAAAGAGAAAATGTTACTGACTTTGTGGCTTTTCTCTAAAAAATTCAACACAGATTTTTTTTTTTTTCCTTTTTGTCTTTTTCCGTGTCCGGCAACGGATCGCAACCCTCAGTGTCGCCCCCGTACCGGACCGGGACTGGCAACGGGATCGCAACCCTCGGTGTTGCTCCCGTGCCTCGCTCAGCCAGTGAGCGGGAACCGGTCTGTATGTGGGATCCGAACCCTTGGCGGGAGCGCCGCCACGCTTCCCAAGTGGTGCACTATAGCAGTGCGCCACCGGGCCGGCCCCAACACAGATATTTTTTTAGGTTGGGCTTCAAACTTCCTTTTTCCTCAGCCTACCCACCATTTTATTATTAAGTTCAGCAGATCTTTTGTGATGAAATTGTGCTTTGGCAGCATTATGTAATTTTATACGAATGTAAAATGGGAACTGTTGAAATATTCATCCACGAACTCGTTCATGGGGTTGAGAATCATGACAAAGCATTCCTTCTTTAAGGGAAAATAATCATCTGATAGATAGTGGTCTGTGATCTGAGGCTTTGCTTTCTGAGGTTTTTGGAGAATTGTGGTATTTTCGAACCCATTTTCCATATCCCTAACCCAAGATCTACATAAAACTTAAGTGTCGCTTTCCTGGTACTTTACTTTTCTGTGGTGTTATGTCTGTTCTTCAGCAAAATCATTGTTCACTGAGCACCAGAATGTTGTCATAACACAAACTGTCAATAAAACGCTACAGAAAACGCAACAGAATGTACGAAAACGATACCAAAAATAAGCATCCAATATGGATCCTAAGGCTTTGTTCTAGGCCCTGAGAGATACTGCTTTTTGCGTGTATATTTCAACAAAATTCCATGATTAGAAGCATGGATAGAATTTTTGGGGGGTAGAAAAATAATTCTAAATAAGCCACAGGAAGGGTAATGTGGTATTGCTGTCTCTCTGATTTTCTTGGTGAATGATCTATCAGATCTTGACCTATCAGAAGTAAATATCAACTATTCCCAGCACTTAGAAGTAAAGTGACCCCCTTCTAGTTGGCTAAGTAGTATCATTAACCTCCCATAGGCAAGCAGTTTACCAACTAAAACACCAGCGTGTGTAAATGGTGATTTCCGAGGTTTGTGCCTCAGGAAGGAGGATTTCAGTATGAGAGACTCCCAGGGCCTCATTAGATCCCTTTATGACACCCCCTACCCCAATTATTGTCACAGGCTGAAATGTATAAATTATCAGTCTGTCTTGGAACAAATTCTTAGTTGCATGTAACTTGCAAAAAAAATTTCAAAAGTGGCAAATATGGGGCTACCTTTGTCAGATGTCACACATAATATGGTTCCTTCTGTTCAATACATATTTGCTTGGGCTGTATAGGCAAGAATCATTTTCAAAAGGCAAAAAGTTGCCAGAAAATTCTTCACGTTACCCTCAAGCAGTTAGACATTTGTGGGGATTTCAGGTATCTTTCATGTACTTCAGGACTGTTTTGTCTGATTTTATGACATGATTCCCCCTCCCCCAAAAGAACACCTGGGAGAATTGATAAGTTGTAAACATGATGATCTGGAGAGGATATTCTGCTTCCTGAATTTTTAATGGGTACGAGGCCATCTGCTTCTCCATATGGAAATGTTATCCTCCGCTGCATTGGAGCCAGCACAAAAGCCAAAACGACAGGAGGAGGCAGCCTTCTTGTTCCTCACGGCTTTACCTTTTGTAGGATTAATAAAGCCCTTACTTTATTTAGAGTTCAGGTGTCCTGTTGTATCTGAGGTCACAACACTCAAAGCGGGACCACCTGAAAAAATTTTTAAGTGGATATAGTGAACCTCTTAGTAAAATGGTATACTAATGTAGTAAATTCTTTTAATTTAAAATATTTTCATTGTATTTTATTTAGAGGCATAACAAATGCTAAAAATACTTTTCTTATTTTTAAATGATCCCTCTGAAACTTGATAGCTCTCAGTTCTTCCTCTTGATTAAGATTTTTAAAAGTATTTTTCTTTGCGTGTATTTTTTGTTTAAGACTTTAACGAGTACTCTGTGGATGATGAGTGCTTAGTGAAGTTACTTAAAGGATGCTGCCTCAAGAGCTTGCAGCGGCCCTTGCAAGCTGAGCTGTGCTTCAATCACGTTGTGGAAAGGTAAGAACAGACAATACAGCCAACCTGAGTGCAGGCTACGGTTTCTGGGGAATTGTGGTGAGAAAGTGATGCAAAATGCTTTTATTTCCTGCTGCTTAAACTTTTACTTGGTGTTACAAGAAAGAGAATCCAGTAGTGTTTTCTTTGTTCCTCATGAACAAAATGACAGTCTAAGTAGAGCATGGCTTTCTGCATTTCTACTTGGTGTTCATAGATGACTTACAAAAACGAAATATACGGCCTGGCTAACAGGTGTCTGTTCAAACTCTAGCAGTGACATGCCGAACCTCAGCTACTCTCCTAATTCATGCAGTTGTTTGCTCACTCATTCCACTGATATTTGGGCACCCACATGTGGCAGAGACTGTGCTGGACCCTAGGGATTCAGGGTTGAGTAAACAGACTTGCCATCACTGTGATAATAATTTGGCAGGAAAGAAAGACATGTGAGGGATGAGCACTATAACTGCTTCTCTTTTGACAGGGCATTTCTTTTGTGTAAACGGTGAGTGAGTTTTTTTCCCCCAGTAGCATTGATGATGATGTCCTGTGCCTTCAAGAACCGTAGAGTCTAATCAAGGTTCTGATGCCAGGCCCTCTTCTCTGTATCACAGATGCAGACATCTGGGGGGCCACACAGGTAACCTTACTGAATGAGGCAGGAAGAGTGTTGGCAGGAATAGAGGTAGGGGACACTGAGGATGAGGGAGATCTCCCTAATCAGTGTTCTCTCTAAACAGTGCAGCCACTCCTTAGCTCTCGTTCATTATTGCTGTGCACAACGTGGGCCCGATAGCAATAACCCCTACCATTTTTCATGAAAAGCCTGGAATCCAGTTTTTATGTAAAATCTCCTGACTTTTAAATATTGGCTCAAATTTTTGAAAACATCATGCAAGCCAAAAAGATCACAGCCATCGACCGCCAGTTGACATCCAGCAATAACCCCTACCATTTTTCATGAAAAGCCTGGAATCCAGTTTTTATGTAAAATCTCCTAACTTTTAAATATTGGCTCAAATTTTTGAAAACATCATGCAAGCCAAAAAGATCACAGCCATCGACCGCCAGTTGACATCCTGTGTTTCACATCATGTGCCTTTCCATGTATGGCCTCTTGATCCCCTTCTTGCTGACAATATTAATGGGAATGGAAGAGGACTGGTGTTCATATAAGAAGAAGAAAGGCAATATGTATTTTCCAAATAGGTAATACACTATATTTAGTACACATGTTAAAGAAGTACCCATGGAGTTTTATTTTATTGGTGTTTTTGTAAGGATCAAAAGGATGACCCATTTGTGCTATTTGTTGTGTTTTTTGAATCTCATAGTGAATTGTTTGCTCATGTGTTTTATAATTTTGGATTGTGAACTCTCCTTCAGTGGAGTTTTATATTGGGATTCTGCTGAGGTTATATTGAAGAAGTCTTATGTGATTTTGCATTTATGTTTGCCAGGTGCCCTAAAGGCTTTTCAAGCATGGGCCAATTTTGTAACTTACAGGTTCTTGAATCATTTGGGCAATGTAAGTTTGAATTGCAAATTTATTTGAGGGCAGGTCTAATGGTTTTTTATTTCCCAAGAGAACTGTCCTTGTTTTCCTCCAATGCCAGTGAGTAGGTTTTTTCTAATCTTCCCTTTCTCCAAAGGAGTAGGACTTCAAGGATCCTGGCTTCACATGGAGGCCTCAGTTCCAGCTTCCTTGTTTCTGTGGGCCCACGGCTTCGTTATTAAACACAAAGCGTGGATAGTTCTGACAGAAGCAGGCCCGAGGACTCACTTATTGTCATCCCATGTACTTAGAGTTCTGCTTTTCAGTTCTAGCTTTGTTTTTAGCACCTGAGAATTTTTCCTATGTTCTGGTAAGCTTAGCTATGCATTTGAAAGGGTGTTGCTCATATTTTTTTCAGTGCTTCTAGATGTTTTATAGTCAGAGAGTTTTCTTGATGGTGCTGAGAACAGAAGTGTTGGCCACTTTTTTACTGACATTTTTAAGCATTAAAAGACTTTAAAATATAAAGGGAGTTAAACCTTAGTAAAAATAATACAGCTTTCTTCTTTCTAAATGGAGTAATTTCTTAAACACATTCATGTTCAGAAAGATGATCTTGTCATCATCAGGGCTAATCTTCAAAAAATTGTGTGCATTCTATCTACCTAAAGGATAATAGAAAATCATTAGTGCTGTATTTACAATAATTAGTAAAAGATTAACGTATTAAAAGTGTACTATTTATTGCCATAGTTTAAGTTACATAACTATAATGGCAGCTTCTCTCTGATAATAGGTTTAGTGCTGAATGGGAAATAATATGTATGATGAAAAAGAATGTTTCTTGTTCCATTAAGACTTAATTGCTTCTCATTTGCTCTTTCAGTGAAAAGCTATTGAAGTATGACCACTACCTAGTGCCATTCACTCTGTTCGAGTTGGCATTTTTGTATAAAAACCAAGGGGAAATTGACAAGGCCATTAAGGTTCTAGAAACTGCAAGGTACGTAATGAAGGCAGATTTATTTTCTTCATTGAATATCAACGCCATTGTAACAACATTAACATACACTTAAAAATTAAATTAATTCAAAATTAGTAATAATATCCCTTTTCTAACCGTTTTGTTCATGGCTTTTGCTATTAATTGTGCTGTTTCTAATCCTCTTAAAATCTCACTCTGAGACTGTTTGCAGATGTGATTGGGGGCATCTGTCTGAGAGATTTCTAACTTATTCTCTTCTATATCAGGGGTTGACAAACTTTAAATGGCCAGATACTAAGTATTTTGGCTTTACGGTATAAGATCTCCGTTGCACCTACTCAATTACATCAAAAGCAGCCGTAGAAGATAATATGTAAATAAATGGGTGTGTCTGGATTTGGATCATAATTTGCTGACCTTTGGTGTATTCAACAATATCTGTCATTTCCTTGAAGAGTCACTGATCTCATGAAGCTCTTTGATCTTCCCCTGACCCTCTCTTCTTTCTGTCTGTGTGGCAGTGTCAGAGTATTTTTATCATTTTTGCTAGACAATGTCTATGTGGTAATGACTCATGTAGATGAGGCAAAACCCCAGTGGTCTGTTTGCCTTGGACACTTTCTGCAATGGAGAAAGAATGCCAAATAGCCCTAGGTCATGAATAGCTTATTGGTTTATTGTTTTGTTCATTTATTCAAATTCACCAAATATTCACTGAGCAGATATTACGTGCCAGACACTAGTAAAGGCTCTAGAGAGATAACTGTAAACTAAACAGGCAATGTTTCTGCTCTCTTAGCTGGAGGGAGGTATTAAATAAACAAACAAGAGTTTCACTGAGTTTTACAATATAATACAGGGTACCTGGGTGTTACTTTAGATTGTGTTGACTCTGGAAAATTTCCTTGAGGAGGTGATATTGTAGTTGAGATTTGCATAATTAAAGCCAGTCTTGAGAAGATCAGTCACCAGAATACTGGAAAGGGATCATTCCTGGCAGAAGCCATAGGTGGGGAATCCTCTAATGGTGGGGTTGAGCCAGCAGATCAATGACAGTGCTTTTTACTGAGATGGGGAATACTTAATAGTCATGCTTGAGGAGAGAGAGAAGCATACTTCTGTTTGGACCAGGATACTTTGAGATAGCTATCCGGTACCCATGTGGAGGTGGCGAATCATCAGACAGATATACAGGCCTGGGGTTCAGTGGTAAGGTCAGGGCTGAATGTAGAGATTTTGAAGTCACCAGCACAGAGAACATGATATTTAAAGCCGTAATACTTGATGAGATCACTTCGGGGAAAATTAGATAGCTAGAGAAAGAGGTCTAGTGCAGCGCCTCACATATGCCATCACTTTTAAATATTAAACAATAAGATTAAGAAGATTAAGATCTTCTTAATAAGACTGAGTTAAGAAGCCATCAGGAAAGCCAGCTGAACAAAAGAAGAGAATGACCAGTTATAAGGTGGAGCCAGGAAGGGCTTCTCAAAAAAAAAAAAGCGATATGAGCTCTTTTAAGGTTCATGTGTTGTTAGGATGACTAGTATTTAACCTGTGCTGCGTACATATCTCCAGATCTAGCTACTGGGAAATTATGGACGATACATACTATTGTTCCAAGTATTCATTATTTAAATATATTCAGTGCTGTCTATGCAGTGCACAATAAGGCAAATTTATAATGATGAAAATAAAAGACTAGTAATTCACTACTAAAAAGCAATTGAGGGCCGGCCCGGTGGAGCACTGGAGAGTGTGCCGCTTGGGAGCGTGGCGGCGCTCCCGCTGAGGGTTTGGATCCCATATGGAGACCGGTTCCCGCTCACTGGCTGAGTGCGGTGCGGGCGCAACACCGAGGGTTGCGATCCTGTTGCCGGTCCCCGGTACAGGCGCGACACCAAGTGTTGCGATCCCGGTACTGGTCAGTAAAAAAGACAAAAAGGAAAAAAAAATAAAAATAAAAAGCAATCGAAAGACACCACTAACTCAAGACAGTACCAGTGATGCAAAGATAAACATACTTCCCAATAATTTCAAGACTATCAATTGTTTGCTACTGCCCTTATAGGAGTTTTGCAAAGTTACCAAAATTGGTTGCCAAACATTTAGGAAAATACTCAATTACATTGGTAAATTCTAGTAAGATGTTGATTTTAGGTTACGAATAATACATTTTACTAATCCTCATCAAGGTTACCAGTAAGCAGCTCTTAGGCCTGTATAAAATGAAGGATTATAGAAAGAAGTACACTTTAAAGAGAGAGCTGATAGCTCACCAGTGGGCCAAGGCAGCGTGTGAAAGCAGGAGACCAAAGTCTAAGCTGTTCCATTTTGCTGGTTCTTAACTATTCTAGCAAAGGGAGGTCAACACGAATGATCTAACTCAGGTTTACAATGTTTGGGGCTGGCTGGTTAGCTCACTTGGGAGAGTGTGGTGCTGGTAACAGCCAGGTCAAGGGTTTGGATGCCTGTACTGACCAGCTGCCAAAAAAAAAAGGGTAAATACTCTGTATTTTTATGGCCCCTCTGACATTGGCCTAATTATTATGTAATTATTGGCCAAACCACTGATGTTTGCATGTGAGAATTAGAATAAGTAATCTCAGTGTCACTAAGTAATCCTGCTGTCTTTGTTGCAGTTGCTGTTACATGAGGACTTCAGAGTTGTTTTTTGTTTGTTTTTGAGTGGTTCATCATGTTCACTATGTTTATATGAGCCTTACCTTAAAATTTCCCATTTTAAAAAAGGAAGTCGGGCCGGCCCGGTGGCGCACTCGGTAGAGTGCGGCACTTGGGAGTGTGGCGGCGCTCCCGCCGAGGGTTCGGATCCCACGTAGAGACTGGTCCACTCACTGGTTGAGCACCGTGCGGGCCGTGACACCAAGGGTTGCGATCCCGCTGCTGGTCGCGGTATGGGTGCGACATCGAGGGTTGCGATCCTGTTACCGGTCACGAAAAAAGACAAAAAGGAAAAAAAAAAAAGGAAGTCAAACTGTTTAGAAATAGTTCACAGAATCTCTTACAGCCTCCTCCTTCTCATAACCTTCTCACTATGTTTGTGAATGGCTTGGTAATTAAGTAGAACCTTGCTACTCAGAGTGTGACCTTCAGATCACCACTGAGAAGCTTCTAGAAATACAGACTATTGCTGCCCTCTCTCCCCCTACAGAACCATAATTTGCATTTCATAAGATCCACTGTTATGCACATTAAAGTTTGAAAGTAAATAAGGAGATCAGAGAGGGGCAGGGGAGGGTGGTGGTGCCCAGGTATACAGAGAAGTTTTGACTGTACAATGTTATTGTTGTTGTCTTCAGAAACAACTACAAAGACTACTCTCTGGAGTCCAGACTACACTTCAGAATTCAGGCAGCTCTTCACCTCTGGAGAAAACCTTCCTCAGACTGACTGGACGTGAAGGATGGAATTTTCCTTCAATTAGCATCGACATCTGCTTTAGATTAGACCTTGTATGAAAGTGGATAAGTGATCTTGTGAATAAGAGATAAAACCAATTTTATTGTTAATATTTTCTATCATTTGAGTGGCTTACTGTTGGTCCACATTTTTTTTTTTCCTATGGAATGATGTTCAATACTGTCTAGAAAATTCATATATTTTGCCTCTCCAAAAAGAATTTCATATTAGATTTGAATTGGGGAGTGAAGAAGTCTTTTAAAAGACTCACAGGTACAGTAAAGTATAATTAGAGTATTTATTTTTTTAATGTGGAAATTAATATTGTTTAAGTAGCAAATGGTGTACAAGTTGAGCCATTTTTAGATTTGTTGATTGGTTAAACTTCAGGGGTATTTTGTTGCCTGGTATTTAAATTTCAGAGGGGAAATAATAGTCACATTCAAAATAGCTTAACAATGACCTGAAAACTTCTGAAAAATACAGGCAAAGGTGTGAACAGGAATGGGGTAATGTACTTTGTAGGTTCAAGAGACCTATGTCTGTAAGAGATGATAAAATATTAGGTTTTTTGTTTTTGTTTTTTGCTCTTCATGTTGCCTAAAGGTGGTGACATTTTTTTTTTTTTGTCTTTTGTCTTTTTTCCGTGTCTGGCAACGGATCGCAACCCTCAGTGTCGCCCCCGCACCGGACCGGGGACCGGCAACGGGATCGCAACCCTCGGTGTTGCTCCCGCGCCTTGCTCAGCCAGTGAGTGGGAACCGGTCCGTATGTGGGATCCGAACCCTCGGGTGGGAGTGCCACCGCGCTTCCCAAGCGGCGCACTATCCAGTGCGCCACCGGGCCGGCCCCAATGGTGACATTTTTGAATGTACTTAAGTCTGTTATAATAACAAAATTCAAAAAAGCCTTTGTATCTGAAGGGAAGAAAATGTCATATTTTAGAAATTATCCTTAACCTTAGAAATGAGAGCCTAAATTACATATGTTGATTATTTTTTTTTATAGGAAGCAAAGTTCCTGCTGCTTTTTAAATGATATGTAAAATATCAATAATTTTTACAGTTACAGTGTTGCTAAGATGTAATTTTCTGATCTCCCTAGCACTGTGATGTTTCCTTGTAAATATTTGGACTGTGCTTAGTCCTTTAATTGGGAGCACAGTCAGAGCATGGAGTGGAAGAGAGCCTGACTGTACGGTCCTGGCTCTGCTATCAGGCAGCCATCAGCAGGGGGACCGGTAGGGAGTCCCCGTTCCCTATGCACCACCATATTTTCCTCATCTGTGAATGAAAAAAAACAAGATGATTTTCAGAACTTTCAGTTTTATAACTGTGAGTCTGTGTATTAGGTATTTATTTTCAACAAACAACATTAAACTGTTTAATCCAAACCATTCCCACTTCAAGTAGGTTTGATTTTTTTAACCTTCACTGTTCTCCCCCAACTCCCCATGCATATGTGTTACATCCAGAGTGAGGAAAAAGACTGTTGGTTAATAGTTCCATGTCGTGGAGCAAGCGACTCAGCTTTTCTGGGGCTCTCTTTCCTCAGTGGGATAGCAGCGTAGTACTTGGTGCTTGGGAGGGCTCATTTAGATAGTCAGGCAAATTAAGCTTTTTGTAAACTGCACAAGGCTGTATGAACATGAGTTGTAATTGCAATGGTTTTTATGCACTGATGACAGTATCACCACAGGAGTATTGACTGAGTCTGTGGTCTCTGCTATAAAATGAAAGAAGCGTGGAAATTCAAAAGCCTTTAAATTTATTCATGTGTTTGGCACTGACACTAGCCTAGATTAAGAATTTGCTCCTTGCTTTTCCCTGCTATGCGAGCCTATGTCCGGCAGGTGTTCGGTGTTGTTTTCTTTAAGGTACTGATTCTTGACCAATACCTGGGGATGTGTTTCCGATGGGAGATGGTTAATACAACTCAAGTCAGAGCACCACCCCTTCAGATAATATGGTGGTGGTTATTAATATGTGCTGTAAATATTAATCATGTAACTTTAGGGACAATTAATACTCATTATGATTCCACTTCTCATCCATTCCTTTAAAGTGAGTCTGTAGATCTTTGAGAATAGAGTTCCCTCCTCCCCCCACCTCTGACATTAAAAGTAATGATTTAAAGAAAGGTCTTTGTGATCAACTGAAAAAATTTCTGGAATTACTCTGATTAATTCTTCATAGATTTTTTTTTTCATATTTCTGTTTTTTTCTTAGTTGTATTCTGCATTTTTATAAATCTTAAGTTCAAATACATTTAGTTAAAATGAGTTAATGAAATCTCCAGTGATCTTTTTATACTCTAAGATTTTGTGATTCATCAGGCCTGGAATGGATCTTAGGAAATTATCTTGTTCACTCCAGCCTGTAAGCAGTATTGTTCCTTCTTTAGTCCTGCTGTGTCCAGTACAGTAGCCACCTGCCACATGTGGCTACGGAGCACTTGAAATGGCTAGAGCATGTGTCGGAATGATGCTGAGTGTCAAGGGAGCATTCATTCATACACATTCCACTTCTATCTAAAAACCTCCCAACATTTTGCTTCCTGGAGTTCTGGCTTTTACTTACTGTCTGCTGTGCTCACCCAGTCACCATAATTGCATTGTCAGCTATGCTTCAAATATGAGTTTATCTCTGAAGTTTGCTTTTTCTGTTGAAGTGCCCTTAAACTTTCATTTTATCATGTTTATTCTGCAGATAAAGTCGTTGGCACGTCTGAACATTATTCTACCCTTTTCAAACTCCTTATATACTAGATTAAGAGACTTTAAGATTACTATTTTGATTTTAGAGACATTCCTTGCTTTTTCACAATGTACCACTGTTAAAGTTGTAGACGAGTGACTCTCACCTTTGAGATGTTAGTAGATTTCATGATTAAATAATATTTTCTAAGATAACTTNCGGTGTTTTATCTAATCTTTTGAACGGCATATGGCCTGGGGTTGGGTAGCCAGTGTGTCCGACAGTGTGATTTGTAGTTCCTGCTATAATTGCATTTTTTTTTTTTTTAAATGGAGAGACAGGGTTCTGATTACTGCTTTGTACATTTAAGTAGAGGTTGTATTTTGTAGGACTGATGACAAGGAAAGCATGGTTTCTGCTTGATGATTAATGGAAGATTAACTACAGCAGCTCTTATATGGACATATATTTTAATGATTTCTATGCTCCTGGACACAAGAAGGTCCAAGTTATACAGGAAAAAGAAGCTCATTGATTCTGTTTCTTAAGAAGGCAGCGATGAGACACATGGGCAGAAGCTGCAGGGAGGTAAATTCCAGATTAGTCAGCCTCCAGGAAGATTTTTCATCCTTGGAACAATCCAATAGTCTACAACATATAGCTCTTCTACAAAGGGGTGATTTTATAGCAGGGCCATGTGCCTGTCATTCCTACCTGTTCTGGAA